GAGATGAGGAATTCATTTTCCAGCATGATCTGGCACCTGCCCACAGTGCCAAAACCACCAGTAACTGGTGTACTGACCATGGCATTACTGTCCTCGATTGGCCTGCAAATTCCCCTGACCTGAACCCCATAGAGAATATGTGGGGTATTGTGAAGAAGAAGCTGAAAGACACCAGACCCAACAATGCTAATGAGCTAAAGGCCGCTATTGAAGCATCCTGGGCATCCATAACACCTCAGCAATGCCACAGGCTGATTGCCTCCATGCCACGCCGCATTGATGCAGTAATCCGTGCAAAAGGATTCCCAACCAAGTACTGAGTGCATTAATGGACATTTTCAAATGTTTGATTGTGTTTTGCTGTTATAAATCTTTTTTTTTTACTTGGTCTGAGGAACTATTCTAATTTTTTGAGATAGGATTTTTGAGTTTTCTTAAGCTGTATGCCATAATCAGCAATATTAAAATAATAAAAGGCTTGCAATATTTCAGTTGATTTGTAATGAATCCAGAATGTATGACATTTTTGTTTTTTTAATTGCATTACAGAAAATAAAGAACTTTATCACAATATTCTAATTTTCTGAGACAGTCCTGTATGTTGGGTAAATCAAATCAAATAAATGTCCACCTTTACCTGCACGCCTAGTTTTTGCCTACCCTGGTCCTTCACAATCTTATACCCTGGTTAAGGCTCCTTTCTGTCAATGCATTTTGACATCATTAGTATTATCAATTTCAAAACAAATCTGAGTGCTGAAACTAGTATATTAAAGGTGATGTTCCTTTTTTGGTTGGCAGATCCATTTGATACAGAATGTTTCCCAGAGGACATCAGTGACTGTGAATGTCAAGATAAAGCAACTATTTCACATCTAGCCTTGACATTTGTTTTTAGATATGTATGGTCCCCTCCTCCAGAAGCAGGTGACAATATGTCTACTTTATTGTGCCGATGTCCCTGTTGGATACAGTTCCAATGGTGATACCAGGGGCACACGATTAGCCCCTGGTATCCCATCAGACAGGCCCACCTTAGTTGATCCTTCAGGTCTACTGTAGTTGCACAAATGTCTTGGCAATTTAAAAAAGAAAATACTGTAACCCAGTGACATGAGTGATGTGAGCCAGCGGGGTCAGAGGCACTTGCTGTCAGAAGATTGTAGTATTTACATGATTACAGGCACTCTGGACTATCTTTTTCTTCCATAACACAAACATTTGTATCCTTCTAGAAATATTTATTCATCCTATAACTTTGTTTTTGTTGCAGTGGAAAATACATGCATTCTGTGTCTTTGAGAAATGATTGATCAAGCTTGCTATTCAAACGGATGATTTGGAAACAAATCACAAGTTTAATTTGTATTCATAAAAACACAATATGATACATATTAATACTTGTGTGTTTTATTGTGTGCCATCAGTTATTGCCTTGAGTTTATTTGAATCCTATTGAAAACCAGTGAGTTAGCTCCCTCCTCCTGAAGCCTTCCCTCCTCGCATTATGGACGGTCTCGTGGTCTCCAGACATCACCAGCTCTATCACTTTGAGGAAGTCACTCCTGTGTGTCACCTATAGAGAACAGTTCGGAGGATCTATAGAGAGCAGGTAGGTTTTATTTCAACTATTGTAGTATTGACTACCCAGATGAACATTATTCATCTGCATTTATAATCCAGATGATTGATAATGCACTGTGGAACATCCATTCAATAAAACATCCATTGTCCAGAGAGCTGTAGGACTTCTGTGTGATCTAGATAACATATATCAGTTTAGTGTTATTTTGTTTCACAGGACATACAGTATCTCCATCTCTTCAGGTCAGCCATCATTAGTCAGCTGGATGTCTCACTTTCACTTTGGTGCTAAATAAAGTTCTAGCTTAAACATAGTTGAACAAAAACGCTCTGAAAGTGATGACACATTAGTTGTACGAACCAAGCGGCTAAATGGTTGGTTCGATGACCTCTGATTTATAACCATTAGTAAATAAAATACAAAATAAATATCCACACTGAAATAATGTTGACTTTAATTAAATGTATTATGTTAACAGATTTCACATATACAGTACATTTCACATACATTTCAGTTTTTTCAGTGAACATTAAAAAATCATTTTCATCTGTAATGTTTTTGTATACTGTCTTGTACTCATTTTGGTGATACTTTGACCAAAGTATCTCCAAGTAATTCATAATAACCTTATAAAAGCTTAATGGCTCCAATGTTCTAAAGAGGGAACAGCTGTAATCTGCTTCAACAGTGTTTGTCCTCACTTCTCTAATGGCTTTATTGCAGGCATTAGTATGTGAGCTATTGAGCGGCGCTGAATGCAGCATGGAGGGGGCCGGCGCCACCGTGCTCGTCACCGTCCAGAGGGTCTACTACCCTCTGCTCTTCGTCGTGGGCATCCCAGGTCTCTATCTTCTTCTTGTTCCATGCCTTTTCCAGGCACAATTTAATCAATCACTTGAGCTCACTGTCCTGCAGGCACCAGGCAGTTTGACCCACTGCCCTCACAGCATCCACATCTTATTCTATAAGTGACTAACAGTGATGACGAGTAACTAAGTATTTACTCCATTTGGAGTTTTTGTACTTTCCTTGAGTATTTATATGTTTTGCTACTTCACACTTCTACTCCACTACAATTCAGAGTTAAATCGTGTACTTTATGTACATGTACTACACAAATCTGGATGAATGATGTGAAATATAATCAGCTCTTCAATCAGACTTTAGTTCCACCTGGAGTAAATCCACAAGCTACCCTGCAGTATACAAAGTCATTCAAACTAGCTGCACCTTTACCAGCTTTGAGAACACTTTCATGATCAATCATTATAAAACATATCATATATATTATTCTGAAATGGACCAATCTGCACAATGACTACTTTCAATTTTGGTACTTTAAGGATATTTTGATGATAATACTTTTCTACTTTTACTTTTTTTAACATTTGGAATGCAGGACTTTTACTGTAACAGAGCATTCCTACACTCTGGTACTTTATATAAGTGCACCTCCCACCTCTGGTTACTAACATAACTGCAAAATCTACAGTCTGTTAAAGAATAGTCCTGTGATTTGGGATACACATTGGCATTCAACACCACAGTCAAATAAGGTTCACTTCTGTGTGTTCAAATGCAGGTAGGCCTAGGGAATGTGTAGCCTAGCTTAGCTCAAAGACTGGAATAAGGGGGAAAGGGTTACAAAATAAACATGCAGAAAAAGTTACACATTTTATAATATGTATACAACATGTCAAACTTAGAAATATAGGCTCAAAATATGACCATATGGCTATTTTGAAAGACTAGTGACAGGCTTGCAAACAATGGTGACAAAATATTGGCGACTTGGGTGTATGGGTGTACCAGCATGCTACAACACATATATTTGACAGCTTCTGAGTTTTTAGAAAAATGTTAGCTGAACCAGGATAAAAGTTCTGACAAACCCCAATTATGCACCAACATTGATTATTACTGAATTATTAAGCATAAATTGGTTGTAACTTAAAAGTTGGACCAGCCAGGAAAATATAATAATCTTTGTGTCTTCCAGCAAACCTCTTCACATTCTACATGATCTGCTTCCGTAAGTGCGGGATGTCAGACACGGCCATCATTTATCTGAGCTGCCTGGCCATCATGGACACCTTCTACCTGGTGTGGGTGATCCTCGTAGACCTGACCCTCACCTTCTGGCTGCTGCAGCCCTTCTGGAACTCCAATCCCTGGTGTTCCATCCTGGGAGTGCTGCAATACGGATCCCTCTACAGCTCCTCCTGGATCGTGGTGGTGTTCACCATCGAGCGCTACCTTGTTCTCCGCAGCACAGCGGCCAAGCAGCACTTCTCCCAGGCCCAGGTCACTAAACTCACATGTGTGGCGATCGTCCTGGTGTCCCATGTTGTGTCTGTGCCGCTGGGCTGGATCAACATCGTCTCACCTGTCAACATTACTGTGGACGGACACAATGTGACACTGCCCCGGTGTCGCTACCGCGACGAGGCCTACTCTACGTATATAGTGTGGATAACTACCTTCCTCTCAGGGGGAATCCCCATCGTGTTGGTCATCATCTTTAACTACCTCATCGGCTACCATCTGTGCCACGCCAGCAACCTCTTCACCAAGGAGGAGCGTCGTGTGATGCATGGGCGGAGCACCAGGGGCATGTTGAGGAGGACCATCCTGCTCCTGGGCACCGTCTCCGTCACCTTTGTCGTCCTCAGCCTGCCCCGCTTTGTCACATACTGCATCCTGAGGACCAAGTACAACAATGAGAACTTCAACAGGAACGACTACAACATCCCCATCAATGTGGCCGGAGACCTGGCCAACATGCTGCAGAACCTTAACTCCACCACCAACTTCCTGCTCTACTGCATGGTGAGCCGCTGCTTCCGCCGGGAGCTGCTCCAAGTGGCTACCTGTAAGGCTAAGGCCCGTGCTCTGGGCTCTGTTCTCACCCACACCACCATGAGGGTCTTCTCTGTGGCCAATCATAAGGCCTTGCCATCCGCTGACCCTGTGACTGTGGTGCTGACCAATCTCAAACTGACGGAGTAGAACCCATCTGGAAGATTGGACAAGAATAAGAATTTCAAAAATGTAATCCTTTAAACATTAATGTTCCTTCATGACATTTTAAATAGAAATTTGACAAAAAAATCTCACATAAAAGCCCACTTACCAGAATTGTTCAATGATTCCAACTAAATGTATGATGACCTTTCGATATTAAGCTATCCCCACAAAAGCTGTGATGATACTAATACTGAAAAGTGATGGTATGTGATTAAATACCTTTTCAACTATTGATCGTCCCATCAGCCTCAGCTGTACTTTGTATTGCGTGTTAATAAATGCTAGCAACATTGGCAAACATGGTAAACATTTGACCTGCTAAACATCGGGATGTTTGTATTGACATTTTGAGTATGTTAGCATTATAACATTAGCATGAAACACTAACTACCACCTCACAGTAGATGTGTCTTGTCAAACATATGAAATAAACTAATGATGAATGTGGATGAACTATTGTAACAATGTATGTGAATAAGTGGCCATGGGGTTATTCCGTAGGTGATTGTAGATTCTGAGTGGTCCAGGTCATAGGTAGTTGTAAAAGGACATCGCAAACAGTCACATCTTATGAAATATTAGCATTGCTGCAGTGCTATTCATGTACCTGTCAAGTCAACTGTTTATTTGTTGACACATTGTAATGTACTACTTCAAGACTTACATGTGCTCTTTACTAAGGGTTGGATCCAATAGAACGAGTGAAAGCTGAATAGCCACAGGAGGCTCACCTTGCTGAAGAACCCATCAGGCGGTTGCAGTCTTAATGCCCCGCATTATTTGCATAAATGAGTCACGACACTTCCCTGCTTTGCATAGTGGGAATACTTCCTCTTTGCTTTAGAACAGGTCTGTGCTGTGGGTGGCAGAGAAGCAGGTCTAAGAAAAGGTAGGCGTAGGAGTACACTTTATTCTCTGTATGTACATTTATAAGGGAAAACATACTAAAACTTCACAAATTGCTTTGATTTGTAATCTAAGAAGCCATACCTAGCATACCTTTAGTTCTGTGATTTTGACCTTTGTACTAGTTTGCAGCGAATGTGCTAAACTCTGCCGCTCCTCTGAAGTTACGTGTAATGTGTCACACCTATTCAGTGAGGAGGAACCAAGAATGTGAGAATGCGGTTTATACTTGTATATATGTTATGTACTCATGTTTATATTTGTCTATTCACCCTGCACATACATAAAACTTATATTTTCATTTTCGGTTTTTACTTGATGGTGACTGTAAAACGGACTTTGAATCCCTCAGTTGAGACTTAATTTGTTTACGTGCCACCTTTGTGAATGTAAGGAGCTGTGCAGTCTGTGTCTTTAACCTGTCCTGCTCTATTCATGTCCTGTACTGTTATCTTAGTGTTCACTTCAGCAGAGGCATCACACTGTTGGCAAAATGGACTCTTTGAAAGGTAGGAAACCAAACGTGATGAGTCAGCAGTATTCACTGTCTGCTGGGAAGTTTGAACAGGTTTTTCTGTTGGCTCTTGTTGTCAGGGGGCTGCCCTCACCAGAGTGTTCCTGTAGAGATGGACGAGAGCATGACACCCTCCAGTCTGGAGTTGGCCTGCCCCCGCCCCTGCAGACAGTGCAGTGGACATACAGTGATCACAAGGTCTCAGATACAAGCCAGCCATGAGCAGGCGGGGGGGGCGGCACACACTGAGGGCCCATGGAGACTCCCTGAGAAACAGCTGCAGCTTCAACCCAGAGCAGAGCCCCCACTTCATCTAATGCCTCCCCACCATGCAGATGTTAGGCTGCATGGCCTCAGAGAGCAGTCTCCACTGTATGGGCGGGACTTTCCAGAGGCTACCACGCCACGCCACGCTAGAAGCTTTGTGGGTAATTCAGACTGGCCCCAGCATTACTCTGTGGAGGAGGATGAACGCTTGGACCCCCCCCTCACACTCAGGTCTGGAGATAACTTCACCGACTACGTCCCTCCACCACACCCTGCCTGTATGCCTGGTCAGTGACACATGGAACATTTTACATTCTGTTACTGTCAGTGGTCCTGAGATTTATAAGATGTTTCTGTGGACGACATGTTTGATGATAAAAAGTAGTGTTCAAGGTCTATGGATTATGCATCATTCCTGCTTTTTTTCTTAAATGTCATTGTAAGCATCACAAATTGGGTTTGATTCAATTGTACTGTGTTAGTATGGGTGCAGTAACAACAGGATCTGCACAGCCTGAATCAGGTTAAAGAAAGAGTGAACTCATGAGCGCTCTCTTCCCAACTCCGGAGTACGAGGCAGCTTTTCTTGGCTTGGTATGACGAGTTGATGAATATTTTATGTAACGATATGTAAAAAAAGAAAATAATGTGAGTTTTAAAGTGAGAATCACAAATAAACAAGTAGGAACATAATAATTATAATGATGAAAATAATAATAATATGAATAAAAGTATGGTGTATCTCAATACATACAAAGAGAAACAATCCTTATAAATGGAGATGTTGAGTCCCATGGTACTTAGTCATTAGAAATATTGGTCATTATATCTGAAAAACTGAAACATTTACTTTATTTAAATGTATATGTAAAAAAAAATTACATAACTGTACTAGGTTAGTTAGTTGAAAGCAATAATATGAAGTTGTTATAAAGCTTAGTTATGTGAAATCTGATGACATAATACATTTCATTAAAGTCAACGTTTCAGTTTCTTCAGTGCAGTCATGTTGGGATTTCGTGAGATATATATAAGATATATATCACAGTAATTGAATATTGTTGAATATTATTAGACTACAGCCTACAGTACAACCTAAATATGCCATTTAAATCAGTGTTTAAAATGTTGAGAAAGATACTTTTACAAGCTAAAATGAAATCATTTGTTTATATGCAGTAATCACTACATCTGTGATGGATTTAATATTTTTCTGCTGTAACCCTGTGAGGAATCATTTAGCTTCTCATTGTGTTTCTGCATGACCTCACTGCTGATTTGGGAACCTGTTTAATGTCAGCTCCTTTATATCTCTCTGCAGGCCAAAATCAATGTCTGTGGCGTCATGGCAGACAGCGTGCATGCTGCCCTCCAGCACAACTGCACCATCACACTAACAATAATCATCTTTATAAGTATGATTACCCAGCAGATTCATGCGGGGAGCCTCAACACCCCCAACAGTCAAGGTATGGCCTGTTTGTCATAATGATCTGATATTTTTAACATCGATTCATATGATTTTTCACAGACGTAATACATGCAATGAACTCCTCTACAGGAATTCCCCCCATAATAGACTACAACTTAAAGATGATCCAAACCCCCCCCATGGATCTGTGGCTCAGCGGGCAGCCCCTGCCTGGGATGTGATGCGTGAGGTCAGTGTGCATCGCTCCCTCCAGCCTGATCCAGGGCCAGCCACCCAGGAGATGAGGAGGACCATCAGCCTGCCTGAGGAGTGCAGTAAGTCACATATGTACATGGTCCTTTCTGAATCGGCCAAGCCATTTTTAAGCTATTGTCTTCTTAGGATAATTACTGCTAATTAATGCGACAAATGCTAATTGTACAAATTGCCCAACATTTGCAAGTTACTTGCCAGCAGTGGACTAATACCCAAAGATAAGAATGTTTCGCTGACTTCTTGTTGACAGGGAATGTTTTCATCACATATTCAGTGGACACCGCCAGAGAAATCATACCTTTCACCACATTTCTGACGGATCAAGGGTTCAAACCAGCAGTAAGTTATACCATGTCTCCCACACCTTTGATTCCCACTGATTTTGTATTCAAACATTCAAATTCTGCCTATTGTCTACAGATTGATATCTTTGACAATCCAATCCGAAGAATGGACATCACCAAATGGATGGACAGATTTTTGAATGATGTAAGTCTTTCCATTGAGCAGAGTATGAATCCAAATTATAATGCTGTCTTCAGCAAAAGCTGACAGTGAGATGTATCATTACAGAAATCAGTACTCATCATCGTGGTCATCAGTCCCAAGTATAAGGAGGACGTGGAGGGAAATGGGGACGACGAGCACGGCCTGCACACCAAGTACATCCACAACCAGGTGAGGACTCCTATTAAGACAGCTGTCAACCACGCAGTGGTTTTGTTGACTGATAATCTCCACATATAAACACCAATTAATGATTTTTGAAGTGTAAAAGTAACAGCAAGAAGTAAAAAGCTTTTTCGGCAGATTCAATACATTGGTTTAAGTCTTACTTATCGAACAGAAAACAGTGTGTTTTGGTCAACGGTGCCAAATCCCCCTACCTTGTCAACCCTGTTGGGGTTCCACAAGGTTCCATTCTTGGACAATTACTGTTTTCCAGTGCTTGAATTGGGTCGGTACTCACGCAGTACCGGGACTTCTGATTTTTATCCATATGCGTACCGGCACCTCATGACGCATCTAGGTACGCCTGTTTGTTGTATGATTCCCCTGTGTCCTCCCTGGCAGCTCCATTGATTACCTCTCTCAATAAAATTGACTTGAAACAGTTGCTGATTTAGAGTACTGGCACCTTTTTTATTCCAATTCAAGCACTGCTGTATTCTCTGTACATAAATGACTTGCCTAATGTATGTCCTGAGTTGAATGTGCAAATATATGTCGATGATGCGGTCATCTTTGTACAAGGGGAAAACACTGAAATGATCTCATCCTGTCTCTCAAAAGCTTTGGACAAGGTTCAACACTGCTTGGAGTTAAACGTAAAAAAAAACGTATGCACGATGTTCAGTAAACGACCAGTCAAAGTCGAAGGATCCAACGTGTTTTTAAACGGAGCAAAAATAGAACTAGTCTCCCACTTCAAGTATCTTGGAGTCATACTGGACTCAAACTTGACTTTCAAGAAACATATTAAGAAAGTATCAAATACTATTAAATTCAACTTGCAAAAATAAATAAATACTTGTGTATGCTGCTCTTGCTCTTTTGCACCTTTTGCATATCATGTATTTTGTTTTTGCTATTTTTTTAAAATGCAATTTTCTTAAATGTTTTATGTGAGGGACTATGGATGGAAATTAGCTTAAAGCTAAATCTGGCACTGTTACGCTTGACACATTTTAATGTTTTAAGTGTTCATCACTGTGCATTGTCCCTGCTAAATAAACT